GCAGGGGATCAGCCTAAGGAAAGCTGGGGACAAAAAATGCCCCCTGTGGCTGCCTTGCCTAACTTTGCTACTCTCGGTCTGTGACCTATGCCTGGTGTCTAGAGCAACCACGTGGAAACCTTGAGTCAGGGGATATGTGTGTCTTTAAGGCTACGTGTTTTGGAATTTATGGCCATTGCTGTAATGCCTGGGTGGTCATGTGTAAGGAACTAACTTTAGTCTTTTAGAGTATAGAAATAAACTGACCTGGTGCATTCGTCACTTGAGTCTTTGTGTGTACGTCTGTGTTTTTGTGTTCTGTGTTCATCCCCCTTCTGGTAAACGGACCATGGCAGAGATGTCCCACCTTTTTGGGCGAAACCAATGTATGCCTCCCATGTATTGATTGATGGCTTTACATGCAACCCCTGTTCTAAAATGTATAAAAACCAAACTGTAACCTAGCCACAATAAGTCCACTTGCCCAAGGCCTCTTGGCAGTGGCTCTGGGTCATGGTCCTCAAATTTGGCTCAGAATAAATCTCTTTAAAATTATTTTGCAGAGTTTAGCTTTTTTCCATTGATAAGATGTAGCTCTCTTGTGTCTGCTGACTCAGTCACCTCCAGCTACTGAAGTATAATTGTTCCTGTCTTCTCTCCTGTTCTTCCCATCCCTGGGAGTTTGTGGTTTAAAAAAATCCTTTAATATAGTTTTAATGAATTCCAGTTAGGAGAAAAATTAGATAAAGGCATCCAATCCACCATCGGAAAACAGAAGACTATTTAGGAATTATTTTCTTTACAAACATCTTCATATTCCCAATTCCTCTCTGAAGCATTCCGGCTCCACACAACCTAAGCCGAAAGGCGCCAGCACATGAAGGTTTTAGTTTACAGCAGCTGCAATTGCCCAGCCACCCACCGAATCTGAGCGACCTGCTCCCTAGACGCTGAGGGATGCCGAGGTGGTGGCGTGCGGAGGGGCTCTCAGGACCACAGGTTCCTATGCTCAGAAGAGGGAGCCTCGATTACTGGTCTTCAGGGGCCTGACACATTCGTACTCCCCATCCTCACCCCTCTATTCCCACTTGTTTCCATTTAAGGCATAAATTGGATCACGTTCCCCTGTTTAAAACCCTCCAGTGCCTTCTCCAAACTTTCTGACACAGACCACACAGCTCTGCATGGTCTGGGCCTGGTTCCCACCTCCCGGTACCTTCCTGTGCAGCTGGCTCTGCTCTGTTATTGCTCCTTTCCTACCCTGGGGCCTTGCCTCACGGGGGGCCCCACTCCTCCTCTTGGCTGGCCTTTCCACCCTCTGGGAACTTGTCAGTGAAATCTCCCAGAAACTTGTGGATTTGGGGCGTGCGCACACACACACACACACACACACACACACACACACACACGCATTGGCTGTGCCACTCGTTCCCTTCAGCAATGAGTGAAATCTACTTGTTCCTTGTCTTCCCCAGCACCTGGTCCTGTCCCGTGTCGGAGGGTCAGTATATACTCTAACCGGTGTATTCTTGGCGTGTCATTGCAGCTTTATTTAGCGTTTTCTGGATGGCTAATGATGTTGAATATCTTTTCATGTGCTTATTTGCCACTTGCATATCCTCTTCGTGAAATGTCTTTGATGTCTTCTGTCACTGTTTTAATTGGATTGTTTGACTTTCACTGTTGAGTTTTGAGAGCTCTTTGTATAGTCTGGGTATTAGTCTGCTATCAGGTCTGTGGTTTGCAAACCTTTTCTCCCAGTCTGTAGCTTACCTTTTCATCCTCTTATCAAGTCTTTCTCAGGGAAAAAGTTTTCAGCTTTGATGAAGTCCAATTTGTCAATTTTTATTTTCATGAATTATGCTTTCGGTATCAAGTCTAATAACTCCTTGCCTAATCTTACATTCTGAAGATTTTCTCCTATGTTTTATTCTAAAAGTTTCTTAGTTTTAGGCTGTATGTTTAAGTCCATGATTCATTTTGAGTTATTTTTTTTTTAACAGTGTGTGAAACTTATATTATTAAGGCTTATGTTTGCCTATGGGTGTTGAATTGTTCCAACACCATTTGTTGAAAAGGCATCTTAAATATTTTTTAGTGCATTAATCACAATTATGTTAATATTCATGTCTGATTATTACAGCAAGTGTCACAGCGGGTGGTGCCGAGGACAAACCGAGCAGCACACGGAGAGTCAGAGAATCAAAGTTTATTCTTGCTGGCGGGCTCAGAGGGGCCTCGCCACCAAATTCTTAGCACCATCTACCCAATTTTTCCCACTTTTATTAAGTTGGAGTGGTCCGAGGGGTGGGGTACCAGGTGTAGGTTAGTTGATGTGTCAGGCAATAGGTCAATATTATGTTGATGGGCAATAGATTTAGTGTTATGTTGGTGCCAGGCAATAGACCGTTTGATGGGCCGGGAAACAGGTTAGCATCATGCTGATGTGGTCTTCCTGAGTGGCGGGGGTCTCTGGTGTCTGATGTGCCAAGTAACAGATGGGGGTTTCCCTTATCATGATAACTCCATGATCCTTACATGGATCACTTGTAGATGTGTTTCTTTTGCCTGTTTTTTCTCTTGATCTTGTTTTTTGGTATGTCCATTAATATTTTTAGATGCCAGACATTTTAAATCAAACATAGTAGTGGCTCTAGATGATATTTTCCTTTAGAAAGTATTTACCCTGTCCTCCAGCAGTGATGTGGAATAAGAATACATGTTTCTAATTTTGTCAGGGGCTGAAGTGCCTTGAGGCTCAGTCTCAAGTTTTGCAGGAACTGGCCTGCCCCTTGTGCACCTGCACTTTACAGTGTAGCCTCGCAGTACACTGAGGAGTGTGCCCTCGGCAAATGCCCAAGTGCCCTGGAGTATTTACCAAGGCTTGTCTTCTTATGTGGGCCATAAACTCCAATTTTTATTTCACCAGCATCAAAATAGCTGCATTTTAGGTAGGGTCTGCTTGATTTCTTTGTCTGTAGCACTGTGCTGCATGACAGTGCCCAGTGCCTGAGGGAGGGGGCAGGAAACTGAGGCAGTACGTCCATGCCACCTTCCTGCACCTCTCTCCTCTGGGGATGGTGCCTACCACGCTGCCTTGGCAAGCTCGAACTCCAAGTTTTGTCTCCTCAGTCCCGTGATGTGCTGAAAGCTCCACCAAGCTTTGAGGCCACCCCTGCAGCGCCTTTCTGGTGCTGCTACGGCTTGGCCCCAGCCCAGTGGGGCTTGCTGAGGGTCACAGGCCTTGCCCAGGCCCCCCGCTTTCCAAGACCTTGGATGCTTAGTACCTGCCTCAGGATCTGATGCCTTAAAGCAGACTTTTTGTTTGCTTTGTTTTGGTGTAAGTTATTTCTAGGTGCCCTTGCCTGAAGTCTTAGTCTGCTATAAGCTGTTCTATTGTAGCTGGAAGCAGAAGTCCCCTAGAGCCTATGTTTTGAGCAAGGTTTACTGGACTCTAAATTTCTTGATCTTTCTGTTATAGAACTTAATATATATATTAATATATATATTCATTAATATATATTCAGTTTTCATGCAAATATGCCCACAAATAATAAAAAATCTTCTGATAAGAGATGCATGCACATAGACACAGACTAACATATCAACTCATGTTTCACGTAAATTATACCCAGGGTTTTCATTTTACTGCATGTATCGGAAAGCAGTGGCTCTGGACATTTTTGAGGCATCCACTGGTCCCAGTGAAACACGAACAGGAAGAGGCCATCACTGCCCGGGGACCCTGGCGTGTCCTGCACCCTGACGGCACCCCGCCACAGATCCACAGAGAGCCACGGTCCCCAGAGCCACGCCAGCTGCGTGCACAGCGGCTGCGCCTCTGGCCTTGCCACCTGGCTGTGTCCTTAGAGTGCGTTGTACCTTCCCAAACCACCTATGGCCATGGGTCTGCCCAGCCTGGTGGAGCGGGGAGGGCGCTGCCCCTGCTGGGTGCCAGTCACAGTGTGCTTAGGTCTCTGGCAGTCCCCCCTCCCAGGAGTTGCCCCGACTGCGGGTGGGGCTGTGAGGGCAGCCTGCTCCCAGGCCAGCCACAGGCTGTGGGCACGCCACACCAGGGGGTGGAAGAGACGCGAGGTCCGTCCTGTTTTAGGATCTGGGCTGGGCCCGGCAGGGTTCAGTGGACTGAGGAGGGCAAGGGAAGAACTTTTAGTTTGGACGCACAGTGTGAACAGACACTGTGTATTAAACATGACCTCAGGGGCTTCCAGGGTCAGGGCACACCAACCAGGCTAAAGCATCACATCTCCCCCTACCCCCATGCTCAGAAGGGGAAACTGAGACTCAGGGGGGGGCACTTGGGACCCCCTGTCAGAGCCAGGATTGAAGGCCGGGCTCCAGGTTGCCCAGCCTAGCTCTGGCCTCAGCCCCACGTCCATTCTGACCTGGAGCTGGCCTGCTGACCAGGCTGGTGGGGGCTCCGCACCTCAGGCCTGCAGGAGGCCCCAGGAGTCTCAAGGAGAGCCTGGGCCAGGCTAAGAGGGCCGAGGGGATCCGCGAGGAGGGACACAGGTGGAGGACAGGGGAGAGGGCACACAGTGGTTCACTCAGCCTGGCAGTCCCATGGGCCTGGGAAGGACAAGGACATGGTCCCTCCCACATCCCACAGGCAGGGCCAGGGGACTCCATCTGCTAGCAGCACCAGGGACCCTCTGGGACCTGGGTGTCCCAGGGTGAACACTGGCCAGGCCTTGGTGGCCTGCTGCTGGGGAGATTGCAGCTGTGTTCTGCTAGTCTCCGCTCTTGCCAGGACTTTGGCCGGCCACTCCCCTCCTCTGCTCCATGCCCAAGGCTGGGACCCCTCAAGTGCCTAGGCTGCCCCTTCCCCGTTTCTGGGGTTGGAATCAGGTGAGGCCTGTGTGAGCCTGTGAGACCACCACTTTTGGAGCAGGACATCGGAGGGGTGTTTCCAGGGAGGAGTGTGAGCAGATGGTATGGTCTGCACAGGGTGACTGGGGAGGACTCCTTTCTGAGCCCAGCAGGAAGCAGGCGTCACAGTCAAATAGGACGCAAGGACGTGTTTTACTGAAGAGACTATTTACAAAGGCCAGGGACAGGGGCCCGGGCTTTGCCACCAGCATGTCCTGGGCCCCCGGCCCCACCATCAGCACACGTCGGGGCTGATATGTGGCGGCTGAGGGTCCCTGCTCTCCATCCCACTCTGCTCTGGATGCCAGACCCAGGGAGGCCAGAGCTGGGGCCCCTCCAGGCCTTGCTACCTCCGGGGCACACCCAGGTTGTGCCTCCTTGGGGTAGGGGTCTCCTTTCCTGGTACCTTTACTGCTTCCTTCTTCCTGCGCCAGAAAAAGTAAGATCTGGGCCAGGAAACAGGGTGGAGATGGGTCAGTCACGGAGTAGGTATGTCTTCCCTGGGGACGCGGGGCTTGGAGAGGTCACTTACCCACCTCCAGCTGCGGCCAGGAGCAGGCCAAGGCTGATGCTCACAGCCCACGTGGAGGACCGCCAGGGCCTGGCTGGGGTGGGAAAGGAGTAGGTGTTTGGAGGCCAGGTGGGGTCCTCTTGGCTCAGAGGCAGCCACCACCTTCCTTCCTCTCTTTGCTCACTGAGTCACTTGCTACAAACACTTACTGAGCACCTACTGTGTGCCCAGAACACATCTGGAGACCAGTGAGACATGGTCCTGGCTCTCCAGGAACGAGACACGCCAGCAGCCATGGTGTGGTGTCCCGGGGACAGGGTGGCGCCGGGGACAGGGCGGCGCCGGGGACAGTGGGTGCGCCTCCGGGGGCCGGCCCGAGACGCTGCTTAGGAAGCAGGAGCTCTGACTGGACTTGGACAGTCCGAATGGTCAGGGGCAAGACTGGGTTCCAGGCCCAGGAAAGGCTCAAGGTCTGGAGCCTGAGGCTGCCCGTGTGCAGAGTGTCCACAGCTTGGTGTGCCTGGGGAGACAGGGGCTCATGCAGGGGCTGCCCAGGAGGGCAGGCTTTATCTGGGGCATCTGGGAGCCACTGATGGTTATAAACAGGGAATGTCCCCGGTAGATTTGCCCTATGAGAAAGAGTTCAGAGTGAGACGTGGCCCAGAGTGGGAGGGAGGCCAGCTAGGAAATGTTGCTGAAGTTAAGTGAGAGACGAGAAAGAGCAGCGGAGGGTAGAAGGAAACTATGGGAGCACATTAGGAACTACTGAGCGAGACTTGGCGAGTGCACAGGCGAAGGTGGAGGGAGTAAGGTGCAGGGAGGTTCCTGGCCAAGGCGGCCGAGGGCTTGAGTGGGGCCGTTTGCTGAGAAGGGCCCTGGAGGAAAAGCAGGTTTTGGAGCGTGATGGGTTGGGCGCGTTTCCAGGCATGCTGACTTTGAGGACCTGAGGGAACTCCAGGAGAGGTGTCCTAGCTCCAAGACTCTGAGCTCCAAGCCGGCACCAGGACATCCATGCTGCCCTCCCCCAGAGTGAGGACGCAGAGCAAGAACAGCTCCATTTGGACGGCAGGCCCCAGGGGTGGAGGGTGGGCAGGGGACGGGGTGGGGAGAGGCTGCACAGGACGGGGCCACTGACCTGGGCAGAAAGTGGGGTCCCCGCAGGAGAGGAAGTGAGTCCTGCAGTTGGCGCAGTTGGTGACCTCCACTGCGGAGCGCATGTCTGCGGGGCGGGCAGGGCTTAGAGGGGCAGGCGCTCCCCGCCCGTGCCCAGGCCCGGCCCGGCACACTCACCACAGGACGGGTTGCAGGCTGTCAGGGGGCGAGAAGGCAGCGACACTGAGGTGCAGGGAGGCAGATGGAGCTGGGGGGGCAGCTGGGGTGTGAACGGGAGGTGGAGCTGGGGGAGGGGCCGCGGGCAGGGGTGGGCTCCTGGGGAGGGTACCCCACAGGTTAGACTCTGCTGGCCTTGAGTCTGCAGGAGGTGCAGGGCCGGGCAGTGCAGGGGCCAGCCCTAGCCCTCACCTTTCTCCTTCAGCCCCTCAGACATGTCCTTCAGCCTCTCGGCAAAGAGAGTCTCGTGCATGCGAATCTCTTCCAGAAGTACTGACTTATCTGAGTGGGGCAGGAGGGAGCCTTGCTCAATGATAGAACTTGCTCGAGGCTGGGCCTTCAAACCCACATTTCCAAGCAGAAATTCCAGAGTGCAGAGGCACCAACGGGCTGTGTGTCCCTTTGCCACCTTCTCGAGACCCCCACTCCCCACAGCCAAATGGGCCTTTGGGAATGGCCTGGAGGGCTGGCCCTTGGTCAGCCCAAGCCCCAGGGGCCCGGACTGCAACTCACCGAACCGTAACTTTTTAATGGCTTGGTCTACTTGAGTGAAGAGTTGGGCTGTTGCTTCCTCCAAGTGGTCACGATCTGAGGATGAGACAAGGGCTGAGGGGAAGTCAAAGGGGTAAGATCTGAGGTCAGGTAGAGGCGCCAGTCCCGATCCCTATCCCTGGTCCCTGGCTATGCCTCACAAAGACACGAGAGTTGGAGCAAATCATTATCTTCCAGGAACAGAGAGTGGAGGCTTTGGGGGAGCTCTGGGGGGGGCCCTGGGCTGCCCCAGAGAATCTGCAGGTCATAGTCTAGCAGGGCGGATATTTCTGGCCAGCAGAGGAGGCAGTTCTTCCCGTTGGCGGCAGGCAGGACACAGATGAGCAGGAGAGACAGCATCTTCTGGGGTCTTCTTGCTGTGCCCCACTGTCTTGCCTGGCGGTTCCGTGCAAATGTTGGCGCTCCGTTGCCCTGGGAACCACATTCTCTTGGCAGAAGAAAGTAAATTCCACAGAGCAAGGTGAGGGCCCGCTACAGTGTCATGATGTGAGCCCAGGCTTTGGTGTTGGAGCCAAGTGCGAGCCTCCTCTGCAAATGGGTCCCTGCCGGGAAGGGTGGGTGGGGGAGGGGAGGGTCCTCTTGAGGTCAGTGGGACGGTGACATTGCTTGTTGGTGGGTGCTCAGACACCTTGATTATTCATCTTGTATGGACTAGTTCAACAGGACTGAAATTTGAGAGGTAAGGAAAGAACAACTCAGCGGGAGGTTTAGTTGTAAGAAGAGAATCTGAATCTTCACACTTCTCCATATACAAGTGGTCAGCCATGGAGAAAGCTGGTGGAAAATGCGCTTTGCCGAAGTGTGTATTGATTGGTAGCTGTCTGGCGTCTGGCCAAGCCGGAGGGGCCTGGCCCCTGCACCGCAGCACAGGCAGAGTGTAGACAAGCTCCGGGCCAGCAGCGTGTGGAAGTGCAGAGAGATAAGCCACCTCTGGGGAGTGGGTCTTTTGTACCATGTGCACTGAAGAAAAGCGAAATTTACTCCTCCATAATGAAAGAACCTGTGGCGCCCTTGCCACCCTCAGCTGGCAAGGTGTGCCGTTCCACGCCACCCTCCCAGCCAGCTCCTAGTGCCTCGGGCTGGGTCGGGGCAGCTGAAGGCCACCAGGCACTTGAGAATCGCTTCTAATGTGACCAAGAGACAAAAACTATAGCAAGAATCCAAAATGAAGGCAAACAAAAACTGCAGGAGAAAGGAAGGGTGCAGAGCTATGACAGGAATCAGAAAGAAATTCAGGACTGCATTACAGCTACAGACACAGACGATGGCTTTCTCCAGAGAGGAAGAGGCGGCGACGCGAAAGAGAAAAGTCAGACAATAAAAAGAGTTATTAGAGATTAAAAATATGATAGAAATGTAAAAATTCCATGGAAGTGTTGGGAGATAACATTTCAGAAATCTTCCAGACGGAAGTACAGACAGACAGATGAGAAAAAGGAAAGAAAAAATAGTAAAATTAGATAATCATTTTACGAAGTCCAATGTCCAGCTGATACAAGTTCCAGAAAGCAGATGGAGTCCTGACAGTCGTGACTTACGGTAGAAGGCGGGTGGAAAGTAGACGTGGGAGGAATTCCACTGTGCAGGCAAGGGTTGCCGGGCAGCCTCATGGTTTGCTAGAAGAAATCACGGTTCGCGTGGACAGGCTTGGCCTTGCCAGTCGGGCGGCTCCCTGGGGAGGGGCTCTGAGCGGGGCCGAGCTGTTGCCCACCCGGAGTTCGAAGGCAGAAATGAAGCTTCTCCTTTGCAGGCCAGATTTCTTCTTTCCAGTTTGAGGATTCCTTGAGATTCCCCTGTCAGAATCTGGTTTTCCCTCTTCCGCACATTCCTGTTGCTCTCCCCTCCAGCCCTCCTTCCCTGTCTTCAGCAGGACGGCGTAGACGCTGGGATCTCCCCTAACGTTGGTGAGGTTGTTAAACACCCTCCCCTTTCCCACTACAGTACGGATTTCCCCTGGATTAGCTCTCTTCCACTGCATAACAAATTGCCACAAAATCAGTGGCCCCAAACAACACTTGTTGTCTCGTGGTGTCTAGAAGTTTGGACACAGCTGAGCTGGGCTCTCTGCGGAAAGGACCTCCGAGGCTGAAGTCGCGCTGTGGTCTGGGCCTTTCTCCTCGGGGCTCTCTTTCCAGCTCGTGCTGCTGAGAACCTTAGGCTGTGGGACTGAGGCTGGGGCTGCTCTCAGCAAACACAGCCGCTCAGTGCCCTGCCACAGGGCCCCTTCCAGAGGCTCTTTTGTCCTTTGAACCTCGGTCTTCAGGAAGGGCCCTGACCTTCTAGGTCAGTCCCACCCTGGATAATCCCCATTCTGACTGGCTCAAAGCAGACTGATGTGGGGCCTTGATCTCATCCCCACAGCCCCTCACCTTTGCTGTGCATTCATAGCATAATCTAATCCTAGGAGCGAAGCTCCGCATCCTCACGTGGCCTGAGCTCACAGGGAGAGAGGAGTACGCAGGCGCGCACGCCAGGGAACAGGAATCCTGGAGGCATCTCAGAATTCCGCCCACCACAGCCCTAGGCCCCACGTGTCCACCTTCTGGCATGCAGCAGTGTTGGTCACACTTTCCTCCACCACTGGTCACCAGTCTGGGCTGGAACCTGTGCCCCCCACACACCTCCGTGTGAAGACAGGGCGGGGAGGCATAGCTGGAGCGCAGTCCTGGCAGTCACTAACCGCCGGGGCTGGCACACACGGCACAGCTGACAGCAGAGGCTCCCATAGGACTCCCCCCCTTTAGATACCAGCTGCAAGCTCTGGGGTCCCCAGGCTGCCTTCACCTATGATGAAACTGGCTACCAAATGGGGGGCTACCATTATGCCCTGAGGTTTATTAATTCACGAGAACAGCCCACAGAAGGCACTGGACTTATGATAACTGCTTTTATGACAAATACATAACAAATCAGGACTAGCCAGACGAGGGCACACGGGTGGCTCGAGAGGGTCCCAAATGCCAGCTTCCATGTCCTCAGGAGGCGTCACCCCTGCCGCCCACGCGGTGATGTGCATTGCCAACCAGAAAGCTCACCACCCTTGGTGTCCAGAATTCCAGAATTGTTATTGGGACTTCACTGTGCAGGTGTGATTGATTGCATCCCTGGCCATGCGGTTGAACTCAGTCTCCGGGCCCCTCCCTTCCTGGGAAGTTGGGCTGATATTACCTGGCTCAAAACCCAACTCTCTAAGCACAGGTTAGTCTCTGCAGAGTGGCCAGCTTCTTCCTGGGTCATCTGGTTAGCATGGCTAATGGAAGGTGTGATCAAGATGGTCCGTGAGCCCACAAGGAACAGCAAAGACACTCTTGTCATTCAGGAAATTCCCAGGACTCAGAGGCGTCCTCCGGGAGCCAGAGACAGCACAGCCAGGTTCTCTTCCCTAAGACAACAGCACACGAAGTCATTATTACTCATCAACGTGTTGGCGCGAGCTCCCCTGGATTCAGGCTTTGTGATGGAATCTTCTGGGAGGCTCTCAAATTCCAGGCAAAAGCTTCTGCTTGGCACACGCTGAGTTGTGGAGCTATTAGGATAGTGGCAATTAGAAATCTAGGGAGAAGGGCATCCGTCTTAGCAAATTAAGTCACTTGGTTGGCAAAACCATCTTAGAGGTCACTGAGCTGCAAATCCTGTCCAGTTGCTACAAGGAGCCTTGGTTGAAATAATGTTTGATGAATCCAAGGGTTGGCATCCAGTGGGCCAATGCTGTTACAAGAGTTTGGATTTAGTTGTTTGATATTTTAATGACAAAATAATAGAAAAATGTCATCACCAGATAGCCCATCATAAGTGAAATCTTCATTTCACTTTCTTTTTGGTTAAAACTCGTGTCTTGAAATGCCCTGTTGTGTCTACTTGGGATGACCCGGGGGTTTCTCCTGCAGAGTTTGCTGGTGGAGAACATTAAAGTGGCATGGAGTTGCTCATGGAATTTTAATGACCATCAAAAGAATTTTGACTGGAATTGAGAGGAATTTAAAGTGAGCTGGTGCTCTGGGAAAGGTTGAAACCGTGGTCCTCCATGTTCCCGGGGCCAGGCCGAAGGCCTGCAGGGCACCCGGGCACCCCTGCGGCTGGGCGGGAGACACTCTCTCCACAGTGGGAGCCGTGGCCAGAGGGCCAGCATCTCCCCGCCGCTCCTGGAGCATCCCGCAGCGCTAGAGCTGGCGAGGCCTGGAGCGGGACTCAGCCGTCCCCTGCCCGTCCCCTGCCCTGGGGAGGAGCCCCGTGAGGGTGCATATGCAGGCCTGTGCCCTCCAGAGCGGCGTCCGCCACCCTACTCTCACTCCCCTGCCTCCTGAGTTCTTTTTCCTGTACTGCCACCGGGCGCAGCCCTGCATCCACGAGCCTGCTCAGGGCTCTCCACCCACAGCGCTCTCCACATCCTCCCTCCTCGTCGCAGGCCATGTTTGTGTTTTCATGGGGCAATTAGTTGCACGTCGGCTCCTGACATGCTTTCCGTTGTTGATTTAAAATGCCGTTAAAATCTGGCGTAACCTATGTTTTCCCCAGACCTTGCCAGTCTGCTTCTGAAAACGGGGTCCCAGTTGCAGCAGCCTTCCTGGATCATCTGCTTTTGGCAAGGTCAGGGCTCTCCTGGCTCCCCTGTTGGCAGTGGTGTGAGTGGCCCCCAGGCACTGCCCCCGATGCTGTGAGCACAGTTGGTGCAGCTGACCTGGGACGTCTGCTTCTCTCTCTGCAGAGCTGAACACCGTGTTCTCGGCTCCTTCCTCCCTGATTTTCATGCAGGGGGGCTGGCTCCTTGCTGGGAGCCCGGGGCTCTCTCGATTTCCTTTACGAGGCCCTGGCCCCCAGCCGCTGCCCTGCAGAAGGGAGATGGCACCTCTCCGTCAGCCATGAGCTCAAAGCAGAACGTCTGTGGTCCAGACTGGGAGCAGTCGCTCATTGCCCCTTTCCCTACATTCGGTTCCTTCTCCTGAGCTCCTTGTACAAAAGGATGGGGCCTCCCTGGGAGTCTGCGCACAGGTCTGAACTCTAAGGTAACGGTGACAGGTAGGGACAATGCTGCACTTATGCTATCAAAGGCAGTCTTGATGGGACAAGACTCCATTTGTGCGTGGAGAAGGTTTGGGCCTCCAAGGAGATTCAGGCTACAAAGCCTGTTAGCCACGCAGAAGGCCACAGGCCTGGGTCCCAGTCAAATGGAGGCTGAGGCCACTTCCCCCAGACCCCTCCAAGAAGCACAGCAGCTGGAGCGGGAGGCAGGCAGGTGCACTCCCACACTCTGCTGGTGAGGAGGGTGGTGGGGAACGAGGCGTGAGTGCTCATGTCATCTTTGCTGATCGGGGGTTTCACATCTCGTTCTGATGTTTACTTGCAGTATGACCTTGGGCCAGTTTCTTCATGTCTCTGAACCTTAGTTTCCCCAT